ACAACACCTCATTTCACTTCAAAAACTTTACTTTGAATACTAATRAATAAAGTTTTTGAAAGAGCTATTTTTTTGGCCTTAAACATGAGATTAGTAAAATCCAGAATGTGCACTTTTAATTTAATATTTTTYATAATTTAATGTTTATTGTCATCACTGACAATCCTAATTTGGGATCACTTAATATGTACAATTTTTTGACTGTGAAGTTCCTCACCTAATGTAACAGAAACATATATGTATTATAAATTATATATACCTAAAATGATAAATAGATTGTCTAAAGAAAACCTAATCTTAACATTTCTAAATTTAATACTTTTACGAAAACAACAACAGAAGAAGTTATTTTTTTGAATATTGTGAGGCTTGAAAATGGATTAAAATTGTCATGAATTATTTGAATAGGAAAAAMGTCTTCTTATTATGTTCTAAAATAAACTTTATATTACATTTACGTGGTATTTGGACAAAGCCAATAGTGAAGAATACACATCACCTTCTTGTCTGAATTTCCAGGGTTATCTGGATCTTGTTGAGGAGGAAAGAGTGTAGACTCACCCTTGCAAGTGCACTCATAGTTGGGATTACCACCACTTCGGGGAATATATACTTCCAGATTGTATTCTTTTGCTCCAATAGTAGAACAGAATGGTCCAATGATAACATAACCCTGTAGAAGGCATTAGATGAACTGAGGGTTAGAATTCTTTTAAGAATATTTCCTAAGCAAAAACCTTTCAAAAATAGATCTTGAAATTTAAAAAAACATTATTAATCCATTGTTCCTCCTCAGATAATAGTGAACTAATCATATTGTAGCAATTTTTCCAGTGCAATTAGTCCCACAAACAATTTCACATTCTCTGTTTTAAAGAGTACTACAGGAATTAGGAGGCATTTTCTTTAAGTCAAAGGACAGCAAATGATAGAAAACAATTTATAATCAAATTTCCACAATCAGAGTTTTAAACTTTGAGATACTGTATTCTAGCTAATTTGTTGAGCTTGTGGGACATTTGCCATACATTTACACTAAAATATTGGTAACTTCGTTTGCTCATAGCTTATTTTAGAAATTCTCTAATGCTCCAATTTTCTTCT